TATTGTATTTTTAGAGGCTAAATTGAGAAAATAAGACTAGGAGAAGAGAAAAACATCAGTTCTAAGAGAAATAAAATCTAGCATTTTAGTGGGTAAAGTTGATTTAAAAAAAAATCAATAGAAGACCAGGAGACAATGATAGGACACAAGCTGGGTTCTTAGAAGCAGAGGAACCTGGCAAAGATGGAGGTGGGAAGTTGGAGATAAAAGTTAGAGATGTTTAGAACAAAGGCTGAAAAAGTGTCTCCTTTTCCACATTACAGGAACATGTCAGTGAATGTCTATGAACCTCTCAAGTTCATACATTGAACTGAAAAATTTTTATGACTTCAGGCCATTTTTTTTTTACAGCGTATTGGCATTTTTTTGCTACAATTGCTGAACATTTGTTCCGAGCTAAGATCCGGAAGGTCAAAAGCCCACAGTCCTTTTTTTTTCTTTTGACTTGCCCAGGGTCACAAAGCTAGTAAGTGTCAAGTGTCTGAGGTCTGATTTGAACTCAGGTCCTCCTGACTCAAGGGCCTGTGCTCTATCCACCGTGCCACCTAGCTGCTCCCACAGTCCTTTTGCTAAGAAGGAAAACATAATCTCCATTCCCCACTCGCTCATACCCCAACCTAATACTTGTCTTGGGTCTCTATTCTTCCCTCCTCATTTCCTTTCTTTCCTCCCTCCTCTTCTTCCTCTGTTTTGCTCCCTTATATTCTTTCTCCTTATTTCCTTCTCCTTCCCTTCCCTCTTTCCTTTTTCTCTCCTTCACCTACACCCCCTTCCTCATTTCCATGGTATTTCAAGACTTTAGGATTGTACACACTCACCAGTTTCATCTATATTTAGCATCATATTTCAGATTCTGGATTTGACTTGTCTGTGTATAAGGTGACATGTTTTTAAAGTTGGGGTTTTTTTGGAGGGTCAGGGAGTCAGGGGGTCCAAACCTGTGATTTCATTGGTATGGGGAAACTCTGTCCAACAACACAGGGTAGTTCTATGCAATATCAGAAGAGGAGGCTTAAAAACAAAGGTTTCAATTAGAAGCAATATTGTGTGGTGGAAAAAATTACAGTCAGAATCAGGACACCTGGGTTCACCCCTGCCTCTGAGGGTAATTAGCTGTTTGATCCTAGGCAAGTCAACCAAATCTTTCTTCCCTTTAGTTTTGTCATCTGAAAAGGGGGAATAATATCTTATGTTTATATAGCACTTTATAATTTACAAAGTATATCACACATATCTCTTTTGATCCTCAAAAAATAACACGTAAATGGTTTAAGTATTATGCCCATTTGATAGGTGAAAAACTAAGGCTCGAAGAGGCAGCCAAGTGACGCTGTGCCTGGAGTCAGGAAGACCTGTGTTCAAATCAAGCCACAGACATTTAGTAGCTGTAAAACCCTGGGCAAGTCACTTAACCTCTGCCTCCCTCAGTTTCCTAAACTCTAAGATAGGGATAATAACAACACCTACCTTCCAGGGTTGTTGTGGGGATCAGATGAGAGAATATTTGTGAAGTATTTAGCACAGGGCATGGCACATAGCAGGTGCTTAATAAATGCTTGTTCTCTTCCCCCACCCAAACTTGCACAGCTAGTAAGTGGTAGAACCAGGAATCAGACCCAGGTCATTTGGCTCCAAATTTAGTAGTTTTGGTTTTTGTTTTTAACCCTATACTGTGTTGCCTTCCTAATCAGGGGGGACTAGATTAGAAGGGATCAAAGGTCTTGTCTAGCTCTGAAATTCCGTGATTCTGTGATTCACACTGAGCTTGCAGGAAACATTTGGCCATTTGTCTATCTATAGCCACTTGACTTTTACTGTACTGAAGCAAAAAATACACTAGAGGTAATAGATGTGAAAGGATATTAAAAAAAAAAGTAAAAACCTTGCAAATGCAAGTAAGTTTTTGTATTATGAACCCAAATTGCATAAAGAATTAAAGGTCAACTGCCTTCCAGAATGTAGGATATTAAAGCTTGTATGACTCACTATTCAAAAAACATGTTTTATATTTATAAAGAATGTTGTTGGTGAGGTGTTTTGTTTTTGTTTTTGTTTTTGAACTACTCAACCAAATTTAGAAAGATACAAGTTTCTTTCAAAGCCTTACTGAATAGAATAGATCATGGTGTGGCTCACGACCAATAGCATATTGGTAGCTTGACCAGCTGTGGTTAGCTGAGGATACACAAAATTGGATGATAGGTAAAGGAACTCATATTTCTCCTGTGTGCAAATCTTTCTTCTACTATGATTAAGCCACCCGTACAGGATCCCTTATATACAGTCCTATTGTGGAGCCAGTGAGCTTATTAAGGGATGGGTCACAGAAGCATTGAATGTGAGGACAGTATTCCTGGATTAATCATTTTGCCTCATCCTTATTTTGTCTTCTGACCTATTGTTGCCTTTGTCTGCTGGGTTGCCAGATTGGTTGTTTCCTATTTTACTGGGTAATAACAGTTATAGCATTAATATGATTATTTTATTTATTGGCACTTTAAGGTTTACAATGGGATTTCTGTCTGTAATCCTATTTGAGCCTCATGGCAACCCTATGATATAGTAATACAAATACTATTATCTTCATATTACAGATGAGAAAACTGAGACTCTAAGAGGTCTTAGCTATGATTTTGTAGCTGATAAATATCAGAGGCAGGATTTGAATCTAGGTATCTCTTGGGTCCAGGTCTAGTACTCTTTCCAACAACAGAGACATATTCATTGGTTTTACATAAAATTCTTAATAGCATCCATGATTTCCAAGTTAGGCTCTTTTTAACCATGATTTAATGAAGGATTTCTGAGACTGATCATGTAAGAAATGTACCATTATCAAAAACAACAGAGTAACAGAATGTGTGATTCCACTGAGTTTGGGACTGCTCTGCTGCTTTTTTGCCTGAGCATACTGAAGCCATCTCAGAGTAGACTCAAAGCAGGACTCTGATGCAAAGGGAGCCTGAACTAGACTGGAGAGGCAAGTACAATGTTTCCTTCTCCAGCACACTAGTTCTGAGAGACCACTTCCATTTTATACCAGCCAGTCTCCAACCATTGCCACCACCACTTCCCTTAGCTGTTTGGGGTTCCCTAACTCCCAAGATGGCAGCTTATGGCAGTACAGAGAAGTGAGTTGGGACTTGTGGTTAGCATACCTCCACTTTAAAAGAATGCTGTTCTACATAAATAAATCACATTAGGTAAACCATTATCTCACTAACAGCCACTGTTTCCTCTTACAGGGTGTTCACCCTGAAAGACCCTGTCCTGGGACTTCTCCATCACCTCAACCCATTCACTTTCTACTAAGTATTGACCCAGGCTTCTACCTGTCTGCTCTATTCTCAGTTGAAATAATGTGTCCCCTAGCTGTTTCTGTCCCCACATCGCCTCATGTGCCTAGAACATAAATTAAAGCCATTAAAAAAATCTCAGCTTGAATGTATATGATTTCATCATGAGCCTCATGCATAAGAGTAAATGTGTCTAAAATTTTGCTGCTGTTGCCGCTGACACTGGAGCTCTTTTTTCAAAAAGAAAAAAAAGAGTCTTCCTCTGGTCTGTATATCCAGATGCTGGCACTGTGGATCAGGAGGTTCCCCAGGGGATATTGACTAGGCACAATATGGTTCCTCTTTGTGGAGGTGATTGCCTTGTTTGCCTGGAAGTTCAGGCACCTGAGAGGAGTCAGGGGTCTGCCATTTCACAATACCCGGATAACATTGTATATGCTTTTAAACTTGGTTGAGGTGTCACTTAGTTTTGCTGAACTATTTTTCTTCTCTCTTTCCATTTTTCTTATTTATTATAAATGATGATGCTCTTGGGAGGGAAGAGAAGGGATATACTTGCAAATGAAAGTGACATAAAAAAACCCAGACGATAACAATACTTTCTAAAGACAAAAAAGTACCCATATCTCATAGTACATGACATCTAAAGCAGCCTTTTTCAATTGGTGTTTGTCCCAAGGTCCCTACATCTCTACATAGAAGGATGGTGGGATGCTGAGAGATTAAGGAATATAGTCTTTTAGTCACTTAGAATCACACACAATCTGACCTTGAGCATTTTTGAATTTTCTATCTGGGGTCTATTTCAAGCCAATCTCATTTGAGTCTTTTCTCTACGCCTAGTCTGTAGATAAAATATATTGCCTAGGAGGTAATTCAGCCCTGAAAAAGATACGGCCTTTTTAATTTTAAAAATTAATAAGTACTTAGAGGTATATTTTTAATAAAAAAAAAAAGAAATGTTCTAATTAAAATATATGATGAAAATTAGCCATACTTAATTGGTTCTAATTTGGCACAGAAGAAAAAATAGACTATTGCCATTTTCTTTCCACCGTGAACGTCTCTCCAGGAATTGGGATCACATGGTCCTAGAGGGAAAGCCAATCTTCTTTCTCTGCTGTTCTCCTATTTCTAGTCCACATCGATTACATCATATTTGAGAAATTTAAACAAGTTTGTGTTCATCCAAATTCAGGATTCCAGAGAAAACCTGAGCTATAAACTTGCCTTGACTCTTATAAATGTATGTACATAGTTTCAAACACATATTTCTTGATGTAAACCTTCCTCACAAACAGTACTCTAAAAGTAAATAATGGAATGTGCTTCCCTTAAGAGGTGGTGGGATCTTCATTTACTGGAGATCTTCAGGGAGAGGGCAGTGGCAAGGTCATGACTTCCTGGGATGAGATAAAGGGGATTTTATACTGAAATGGATTCAATTCCACAATTCCCCACATATTTATTAAGCACCTGCCATGTAAAAGGTACTGTGCTAGGAATACAAAGATGAAAAACAAGGAGAGGTATAAGTAAGCGTTCTCTTTTGTTCCTCTTTCTCCTTTTTATCCCACCCAACTCTTTTCCACTCTCCTTTCCTTAGAAAACCTTAAGTGATGGATGGGTGGCAGAGAGGAATACTTGCAGTCGCTTACAGGAGCGCTGGACTTACATGCATGTCCCTCTCTATCTCTCTAACAGCACTTCGGAGCCGATCAGGCCGTTCCATCATCAATGGAAACTGGGCAATTGACCGGCCTGGTAAATATGAAGGCGGAGGGACGATGTTCACCTACAAGCGCCCAAATGAAATCTCTAGCACTGCAGGAGAGTCATTTGTGGCTGAAGGTCCCACTAATGAGATCCTAGATGTCTATGTGAGTTTGGGTTACTCTTGCTCCTCCTTCTATCGCGTTCTTTGCTCCCAGCATGATAATGACAGATGCTGCCATCTGACTTCATCTTTTAACCATGGGCCCTTCAAGGTGCCCATTGAGTGCCCAGCTCCTTTTGGCCATTTACCTCTGAATTTGCCCAACTTACAAGACATCTAAACTGCACCAGATGCTTGTTAGCCTCCAAGTTAATGGACCCAGTAAAACCAACTTTACTTGTGGAACCAAATCAGAGGTAAAACGTAGCCTTTATTTCACAAGAGCTGGATTTCCTCCAAGTCCTTTCCTCATGCTAATTTGGCATGTTCTAGTTTTATGGCAGACCAAAGCAAATGTCCTAGGCAAGGCAAACCTTCTCATAGCTTTGAGCCTTCTTGATACCATATTAAAGTGAGGGCAGAAATCAAAGCCGCAGTGTGTGCCAGATGAACCAATAAAGTTCCTCGTTACAGGAGAGGTTTATTAGGAGTTCCCTAATCATCACAAGAGATGTAGCTTTGGTTTTCTTTACATGAAGGTACCACACTGACTTTCTTGGGAGAGGAAAAAAGCCCACATGCCTTATTTTTTTTTTAATTAAAGCAAGAAAACCACAAGCATCTGTTTCTTAAAGGATTGTAAAATAAAAGGTAACAAACAATCATGATGCTTTTTTTAAGTAGAGAAACAGAGAATACTTCACTGTCATACTCTTAATGGACTCTACCTAAAATGAATCGAAGTATGCCAACACCTAGAGAAACATTTTTGAGCCCAAAGTCATGCTTTCTACAATTTCCAATATATATCAGTTTAACAAGTGTAATTAGGGTCATCATCATCATCACTGTCATTACTAACACATATCCCTTCTACTCTGTTAATTGGTCCATGAACCAAAAAAATGCATTTGTCATAATGTCTTCTTACTTTTAACTTTTGGGATTTTCTTCTAGACTAACAAGCAAGTGTAGTTATTTCAATCTGAGTAAATTTCTTGATATATTAGAAATAAAAATAGCAAAACTTACATGGTTCAGGATTCATGATGGGTGGTCTAGTAGTGTAGAAGCCAATAATTCTATAAATACTAACAGGGTCACATTGGCAAAATATGTTCCATGCAAAAGAAAGAAGTGGATTTTCTGTGATGGAGGCAGGGGAACACAGAAATACAGAAAAAGCTCAGGCTTTGGTGTTAGAGGGCTTGAACTAGAATCCCACTTCTATTGCTTACTTCCTTTGTGAACATGAGGCAAGACCCTTCTCCCTGGACCTCAGCTTCCTCTTTTGTTAGATAAAGGGGATAGGCTAGGCAGCATGGTATAGATAGCAGCAGAGCCAGGTCTAAAATGGAGAATGTCTAATCAAAGCTATAACTAACAATTCTGGCATATGTCAAGTTGTAGAGTGGGGGCAGTGTGAAAAGAGACTTCTGGGAGAGACATGAGATCCCACCAGGAGCTGCTGCTAGGCAAGCTGTCCATAGGGGAAGGAGAAAGGTGGGCTAATGTTGGGAGTAGTTCAATCACGGGGGCACAGAGGTATGAGGAGAAGAAGGTCAGGACAGTGTGAGGTAGCAGAGACAGTCCTACTGACAATGTAGGGGCAATGACATGGGACCAGTAGAGGAATGAGGTAATAATAAAGGAACCCTACCAGAGAAAAGACTCATGGTGCCAGATGTGAGGTGCCCTGGGAAGAAGCACCAGTTACTCTACCCTGCTACAGATCCTTGCCTGATTCCTAGTCCAGTGGTTCATTCCATTATACTAGACTACCTCTCAGAAAAATTACAGTTACTTTATTGCTTGAAAGTCTGCAGGGAGCAAATTATCCAACCAAAACAAATGGAGTTTTAATTTAATTTCTTCCTATTTTCATCTCCCTGCATCCATTTTTCTCAGTCCATGGAAACAATATGTAGGTATAGTGGAAAGATCACTGGTTTGGGAGTAAACAGATATGGTTTTAGATTCTGCCTCTGACACATCCTATGGGACTCTGAGCAAGGAATTTAACCTTCCTGGGCCTCAGTTTCTTCATCTGTAAAATGAGGGGGTTTGGACTACATGGTGTCTCAGATCCTTTCCAGATCTCTATATATCAGCCTTAGGACATTCATTCCCTGCCCCTCACCCCCAGAACCTCTCTCATACTGGATTTTTTTAGGATTCTGATAGCAAATTAGATGGGTAAGGGGCTACCAAAGCAGAAGCCAGACAGTGCAGAAGTTAAACCTTGCCTCATTTACATATTCCCCTAGCCTAGAGATAGCCCTCCATACCAGATTGATATAATTTCAAATAAACTGACAGACTTCTGTTTGGAGCTTTAAATGCAGATCTAGATTCTAGTCCTAAATCTTCCTCTTTACTATTTACTTAACACTGACCAAGTCACTTTACTTCTCCTGGCCTCAGTTTCCTCATCTGTAAAATGAGGGGATCAGGTTACATAATTACTAAAGTCCCTTGTAACTCTTACAATTGATTTTATTTCTCTCACACATGAATCTCTCTCGCCATCTAGTGTCCAATTAAATGGATTTTTCTACTGAGTGACACCTATCACTTTGACCCCTTTGGATGGGGAAAGCATGGTGGTGATTGAAGAAAGCTAGGAAAAACCTACATACATCTTCACATTTCATTGTTTTCCTCTTTCAGCTATGTTAGTTGTGGTTTCTTAGTTTTGGTGGTGCTTTTTTCCTTTCTCTCAAAAAACCAAATTCCTGACCTCTATCTAAGCAATGCAGGTGATACTACTGACAGTGTGCTAACACTCACTATCTGACTTATATACAGATGCTTATAATTATGGATAGACTAGACCAGTGATTTTATTGGCATAGGGATCTTGCAGGTGAGGAAACTCCATCTTTCAATGTGCTTTGGTGCCTTCTCTGGTCTTAGAGGGTTGTCTATAGTGCTAAGAAGATACAACTAGCCCAGAGCCACACAGCCAGTTTGTATCAGAGGGGCAGTTCTCTATTTGCTACATCCATGATGCTAAAATATAAACAATGATCATGACATGTACAACTGTGTTAAGTAAGATGACACCAGTCTTTGTTTTCTTAGATGATACACCAGCAACCCAACCCAGGTGTCCACTATGAGTATGTTATCTCAGGAACTAATGCCATTAGCCCACAGCTACCACCTCACAGAAGACCAGGTAAATCCTATTGGTTTTTAGTGGTGGGTGGGAGTGGGATTTATCTGTATATTGGTTATAAATTCTCGTTCTTGTCTTATTCTTACTCCTTTAGTCTCAAATGACCAACAAAGAGAAAATCATCCTCCAATAATTTGCCAAATTGAATAGACTTGCTGTAGGATGATTTTCTTGTGTCTGAGCAATCATTGCAAGAAGTTCCATTTGTCCAGTGCAAGAAGGAAATGATATTTTGTGTTTCCACTTTACTAATTTGAAATGTCTTTTCTGTTTTGCCTCAGTTTCAGAAAAAAAATCCAATTTCAACCTATGAAAACAGAAACAGTTAAATCTGAAATAAACGCCAGATCTTACCAGTCTTCAGGGCTGTACCTATGAGTAGGCAAAGTAAGCCCAGATGGTGTCACAAAGGTCCTCTTGCCACACCAAGTGGTTACTAGCTGTCCGTGGGGCTAGTTCCTATGTCCTTCCTGTCCGTCATGCTGACCCATTATTCTTACCTTTCTTTCAGTCTCTTGGCTTATACAGCCAGGGTCGTGGTCCTCTAAGTAAAAAGAATTTACCTTAATTGGAATGATTCTAGGGGCCCCTCTAGGTTTTCCCATTAGCTTAGGGAGTTCTTCAGAGCTGCTAAGTGTCAAGAACAAATCCTGGGGTTGGCATGGGGACGGTAGGCCTGGCTAGTGGTTTCCTTGGACAGTCAAGAGAAAACATACAGGTGTGCCCACTGTATCTTTATGTGGGAGAAATGTGTCAGAAGTTAATTGGTAGGGAGTCCCAAAATAAGATTCAACTACTTCACAATTTTACCTGACAGATGTATACCCTTTTCTTCTCCTTGCCTCTGCTGATCCAATCAACTTCTTTTAACTCTGCAGTAACATGGACACCTTCAGTAAGTGAACTTATAGATATTAACTGTTTACTTATTTTTAAAATATTGTTTGTTTGTGAATAAGTAGAATAGAAAGAGGCCAAGAATGAGGATACGTGATTAAAGAGGCTAAAATAAACAAAACAAAAGAACTCTGCCTGAAAATAGTTTGTAACATCAACTGGAAGTTCCTGGCTGACTTTTAAATGTCTCTGTATTTATGGCATATTGGCAACGTTCTCCTTCATGGCACAGTCTCTAATACTGCAGGTTGTTTGTGGACACTGCCTGCTGGTTGTGCACCTCATTCTTAAATAGGCTGTCAGATTTTGGGAGCGTTCCCTTCATTCTCTTGGTTTGTTCTTCTATTTGCCTTTCCCTAGGAGAGCCTTTCAATGGGCAGCTAGCTGTGCCAGATGGAAGGAATCCAGAGGGAGAGGAAAAGCAACAAGAAGAGAAAAAGGAGAAATTTCCCAATGGGGACATGGAAATATTTACTGAAGACACCACCCACACCTTTGCAGTGAGACAGCCTGAAAGATTTTCCCCCCACCAGCCAGACAACCTGGTTCCAGTTGTACAACCACCACGGAGAACCAGAGACCACAACTGGAAGCAGGTTGGGACAACAGAGTGCTCAGCTACCTGTGGGAAAGGTGAGACATGAATGTGGCTTGTGACAATCAAAAAAAAATCTAACATTATGAGCAGCATGCACTTGGAAGGTAGTGAATTAGTTCACCCTCCCAATTCTTAGCTCAGAACTTTGCCCAACTATGTTGTGGGACGTTAGGGGTGCTAGTGTTTCAAATTCTTTATAGCTCATTAGGGAAGTGAAGGAGTATAAGCATTTATTAAACGCCTACTGTGTGCCAAACACTACACTAAGAACTTTACAAATATTTCATTTGATCTACACAATAACCCTGTGAAGTAGGTGGTATTATTATCTCCATTTTACAGTTGAAGAAACTGAGGCAGAGAGAGGTACAAGGACTTGCCCAGGGTCACACAGCTAGTAAATGTCTGAGGTTGGATTTGAACTCAGGTATTCCTGAGTCCAGGGGGCAGCTAGGTGATGCAGTGGATAGAGTGCCGGACCTGGCATCAGGAAGATTCATCTTTGTGAATTCAAATCTGGCCTAGCTATGTGACCCTGGGCAAGTCACTTAACCCTGTTTGCCTCAGTTTCCTCATCTGTAAAATGAGCTGGAGAAGGAAATGGCAAACCACTTCAGTATCTTTGTCAAGAAAACCCCAAATGGGGTCACGAGTCTGACACAACTGAATAGCAACAGCTTCCTGCCTCCAAGCTCAGCACTCTACCCACTACACCACCTAGCTGGATCATAGCTAAGGAGTCATCCATCCAATATACCTGTTTGACAGTTGAGGAAAAGGAAACCAGAGATGTTAAGTGACTTGCCAAAATCACATAGGGAAAAATAGCAGAGCCAGATTTTGAACCCAGCTCCTTTGTACTTTACAAGGTACTTTCCATTACACCATGTCTTGGGCACAAAATGGTCATTAATAGATCAGTGTCAAGTTGAAGGGAAATACATGTCTCCAGAGGAGTGTCCTAAATACCTTTCTTTGGCCCTGTGGTGTTCAACATTTTTATCAATGACATGGCTCTAGGTGTAGAAGATATGCTTATCAAATTTGGAAATGACAAGAAGCTGAGAGGGATAGTTAGCATGTTGGATGGTAGACTAAGGATTCAAAATGTTTTGGCAGCTATGGTGGTAAGCTGATTCTAACGAGATGGAATTTCATAGAAATAAATGGTAAACCTCACAGGTGTAATGTACACAACAGTTTGTGTGGGGAAAGAACTCAGGTTTTTAATAATGGTAGCTGATACTTATATAGCACTTTAAATTTTCTATGTTTTATGTGTTTTAGCTTATTTGAGCCTCATAACTGCTCTGTGAGCTAGGTTACAGAGCTATTGTCACTCACATGTTATCTCTGAGGAAACAGAGTTAAAGGGATTAAGTGACTTGCTTAGTCATGAAGCTACTAATTGTTAGAAGTGGGCTTCAAACCCTTGTCTCTCCTGAGTTCCACTTCTTTTCAATATCCCAGCTGGTTACATATGAATGAGCAGCCGGTACCACATTTGGTCTGCATAAAGACAGACCTAGTGTTCAGAACAGGTAAATTCTGCCTCTTTTGTAGCACTTTCTCCTTATCCTTAGGAATATCATGTTCAGTGTGACCTTTTCAATTTAGAAAGGATACTGTGAAGTTGGAGGATGTGGAGATGAAAGTAACTAAAATGGCAGTAGACCTCAATCAAGACCGTGATGTCTGAGGATTATCTGAAGGAACTAGGGATGTCTAGACTGGAAAAGAGAAGGATTAGGGGGCATATGGTAACTATGTAAATATTTAAAGGACCATCATATTGGGCCTCAGTTTCCTCTCCTATAAAATGAAAGGATTAGGTGGTTCTCTACTCTGAGAAGTACTCAGAGATGAGGGTTACTGTGAGGTGACATCTAGCTCTAAATATATAACTCTGTGTCACTACATGAAAGAAATCAGACTCATTCGGCTTGTCCTCAAAGGATAGAATTAGGAAAACATGATCCATAAAACTATAGAGAATATGATTTAAGGTCAATTTAAATTAATACTTCCTAAAAATTAGGACTGCCCTAAATCAAAATGGGCTGCCTTGAGAGAGAACATCGATTTTCCCTCACTGGAAATCTTCAGATGAAGATTAGATGACCCTTTGTTAGGGATGTTGTATAGAGAATTACTGTATAAGCATAGGTGAGTAGTACCAGATGGTCTGTGAAATCCCTTACCTTGAAGGATCTAATTCAGGGGTTGATAAAAATACACTGATACCTTCTATGTATTTATGTTAAATGACCTTGTAGGTAAGTTAAATCTTTCCTGATATTGACTATATTTAATTTAATACCTTACTAGAATCATAGAATCTCAGAATTGGAAAGTAACTTGAAGATCATCTCCTATAGTTTATTCATTTTATAGATAAGGAAATGGTTGGTCAGAGATATGAAGTGACTTAAGTAACATCACACAGGTCATTTGGAGTACCTAAATGTTGGGTTTGGAAACTGTCATTGATATGTTGTTAAATTAGGAACAATCTGGTTTGGGGTTTGTTTTATTGTTTTTGTTTTTTGCCGTACATCATAGTCACGACCCTTCTCTTGATCTTGTGTCATTTTTCTCCCAGGTTGTAATGTGCTCTCTCCACCATCCCTAATAACTGAATACACAGATTTTGCCGTCTTGTTGATCTGTGATGCAGTTAGGCCTCATAAAGAAGTTAGAGACTTCAGTATTCATTTTTCAGCCTTAGGAAAGCCTAACCAGGAGAAAATTAACCTGAGAGAGCAATGCCATTAGCCCTGTCCTATATATTAATTACTTCTAACAAGGTTGTAAATTTTCTTAGCACAGGGAACATATCTTATCCTACTTTTTCATCTCACAGTGATTAGCATGGTACCAACCATATAGCAAATGATCAAGGCTAACAGGATCATAAGATTGCAATTGGAAGAGTCCATCTTATCCAAGAGCAGCTAGGTGATGAAGTAGATAGTGCACTGGGTTTGGAGCAAGAAGACTTATCTTCCTAAGTTCAAATATGACCTCAGACACTTACATGCTCTGTGACCCCGGGCAAGTCACTTAACCCTGTCTGCCTCAGTTTCTTCCTCTGTAAAATAACCTGGAGAAGAAAATGGCAAAGACCCTGAATGGATTAATAAAGAGTGATGAGCTGAAAAACGACTGAAAAATAATACAACACCTTATCCAACTCTTCTCATTTACAGATAAGGAAACTGAGACTCAGAAAGGTCATTTCATTTTCTGGAGTCACATAACTAGTAAATGGCTGAGTTGAGACTTAATTACAGGTATTATGATTCCAAGGCCATCATTCTTTCCCCCTATACCTAAGACTAGTTGGGGTTGTTCTAACTGAGTGGATAAGTTAAAGAAAGACTATAAGATGTCATAAGAACTTTGACATCAGATAATGATTGATTGAAGGAATTAAGGATGTTTAGCCTGGAGAAGAAGAGATGCTCTTTTCAAGTCTGTGGAGGGATTTAGGCTTGTTTTCCTTGGCCTCAGGACAGAACTATGAGTGGTGGATGCAAGTTGCAAAGGGAAAAATATGGGCTTGATGTCAGGAAATACAGCCTAACTATTAGAGCCGTCCAAAAGTGGGATGGGTTGCCTGGAAAGGCTTACTTGAGTCCTTTAAATGAAGACTGAATACCCATTTGCAAACTGGTATAAAGGAGATGATTTATCAGGTCTGGGTTGGGTGTGATGGCCTCCAGAACTCCTTCTAATTCTGAAATTTTGCTGTTCTCTAGAGTCTGTTTTGTGGATAACCAAAGGTTAGATCAGCTTGGACTAAAAACCAGATAATTCTGCTTAGGTCACTAGAAAAGGATGTATCAGACTCAAGCAGAAGTATAATGGAACTGGAAAGAGAATACTAACATTTAAGGAACCAGACAAAGACCCTACTAGACCCAGGAATAAATTAGAATGAAGAATCCTTGACCAAGAGAATAAAGACTTAGCCCTTAAACTGAAGAAAACTAAGCCCTACAGGTATTCCCTGTCTTGGCTATCATTGCCTGTGCATACACAGTTTGTGTCCTCAAGACTACAGAAAAATTGTTCTGCTATATTTGAAAGGACTAGCTTGAGGAGATGTTATATATATATATATATATATACATATATATATATATATATATGTGTGTGTGTGTGTGTGTGTGTGTGTGTGTGTGTGTGTGTGTGTGTGTGTATAGAGTAGTTATTTTAGGAAAAAACACTTATTAAAAGTTTAGAGTAAAGGTGATAATAGTGCTATAAATAAGAGCCCTAATCCTCCAGGTAGTTATATCCAACACAAAAAAAAAAAAGAACAGCAATTCTTACTAGACATCTCCAAGCTATGCTACCTGAACTCTTGCTTTCTTCTCCTACTATAATCCAGACTCTCACCGTTGTGCTCCTGGACTCTCGTTTATTTTCACCCCCTCTTACCAGGTCCCAGGCCCACCATGCCACTGCCTAGCCATCTCAGAGCCATGGTGCTATGCTCATACTCTCTGCTCCCCTTCCCTTCTTTCCAACTCCATCTTCCCTAGATGTATCATCATTATTAGAAGGTAAGCTTCTCTGTAAAATGAGGACAAAATACTTGGGCTTAGTAACTCACAAGGTGATCGTAAAGAAACCACTTTTTCAACCACAGAGGAATACATAAATGTGAGCTCTCATTATCAGAAAATCTAATTCCAGAGGTAAATAGCAGAGAAAGAGAGGAAATACTGATGTGCTCTTTTAAGATGGAAAAGCTCTCTCTAACGAAAAAAGAAATATATAGCTGGATAAAATGTAACTTTGCCAAGATTTTTCCTTTTGATGTATTTTCTATTCAATCAACATCACTTTTTTGCCTAGCCTGTGGTAGGCTTTAATTGGAACATTATTTTATCTGACATAATAGTGTTGCCTTATATTGCAAAGCTTTATTGCAAGAGCAATTTACGCAAAATGGCCTTCTCAGCTTCAAATACAGCCTTACAACAAGTTGCCGAGTTTTATAAAAAAAAAAAAACCATTGTCCTCTGGCCTAGCATGTTGTCTGAGATATGTCAGTTTAAGAGAAACAGTCTGAAATGGTCATTGCTAAGGAAACATTCAGACATTTGCCTTGATAGTAACCTCTCAAGTTGTGGCTGCAATTATAAGGAGTTAGAGATGCAGAAGACAATAGTAGTGATAATAATGATGATGATGAACGTGTATATAGTGCCTAACATGTTCCAAGTACCATATTAAGCATTTCACAAGTATTATGTCAATGATTCTCATAATCCTAGAAGGCAGGCGCTATTATTACCCCCATTTTACAGATGAGAAAACTGAGGTAAAAAGAAGCTAAGTGATTTGCCTAGGGTCACACAGCTGGTAAGTGTCTGGGGGAGGGGGGTGGATTTGAACTCAGGCCTTTCTGACCCCAGGCCTGGAACTCTATCTACTGCACCGCCTAGCTGCATGCAGAGAAAAGTTACCTAACAAAGACCAGAAGTGCTTGATGATTGAAATTTCCAGTTCCCTCCCATAGGAGTGAGGCAACATCCTGCAGTTTGGTAGTGGGCAACTATCACCAATCTGTTCCTTCCTGTGACAGCTACATTGGCGCTTCAGCACCATAGGAGATGTCACCTTTCGTTTAGAAACCGGCTCTAATATCTGTGATATAAAAGTGGTACAAAAGAGAGGAAGGGAGAAACATTTGGAACTCAGAATCCTATAAAAATGAATGCTAAAAATTTTCTTGACATGTAACTGGGGAAAAAATAAAATACTATTTTAAAAAAAGATTTAATTTAAAAAAAAAGAAAGAAAAAGAAAAGAAAAGTAGTACCAGGAAGTAGAAGTAGAAATGTATCATTCTGAATGGTGATGCCAGCAGCTCCTGTGGGTTTAGCTATCATCTTGGTGCACAATCCTGTCATCTCTGCTAAGCTGCAGTCCCACATCACCAGCTGCCTACTGGACATTTTGAACTGGATGGCCCATAGGCATCTCAACCTCAACATGTCCAGAAGTCCTTCTGTCATCATGTTTCCTATAACCCAGGTTCATAATCTCAGTCTCCCTTTAGACTTTTCCCTCTCCAGCACTCCCTGAGTCCCACATCCGCAGTGTCTTTCATACACGTTTTCTCTTCTCTGCTCACACCACTATCACCTTGGTCCAGGCCTTCATCATCTGTTACCTGGACTACTTCAATGGTCTCCTAGATAGCTCCCTGTCTTAAGTCCCTTTTTGCCAATTTATCTTTCATGTAGTTGCTGTACAGATATTCCTAAAGTAGAGATCTGATCATGTCACTCTTCTGGCAGTGAGGTGGTAAAGTACATAGAGTGCTGAGCCTGGAGTCAGGAAGACCTGAGTTCAAATCCAAACTTGGAAACTTAGTAGCCATGTGACCCTCTCAGCTTCCTCATCTATAAAATGGGGATAATAATAGCACCCATCTCCCAGTGTTGTTGTGAGAATATTTGCAAAGTGCTACCTAAATGTAGCTAGGTGGTACTGTGGATAGAGCACCGGTCTTGGAGTCAGGAAGATCTGAATTCAAAACCGGTCTCAGACTCTAGGTATGTGCTCCTGGGCAAATCACTTAACCCCTATTTGCCTCAGTTCCTAATCTGTAAAAGGGGGACACACTGGAGAAGGAAATGGCAAATCATTCCAGTATCTTTGCCCAGAAAATCCCACTAACCAAAGTCCATGGGGTTATGTAAAGTCACATATGACTGATCAACTGAAGAACAACATAAATGCTAGCTATTATTATTATTAATTATTGTTGTTGTTATTCAAGCTCCAGAGGTTCTCATTCCCTCTAAACTCCTCTAAAAATAATAAAGCTGAAAAATGTACTCCCTTATTCATCCCTGCCTCATAAAATCCTAGCTTTCTTCAAGGCTTAGCTGAAATGCCAACTCCTATAGGAAGCCCTTCCTTATCCCCCCTAGGTGCTAATACCCCCCATGTTGAAATTACTTCATATTGACTTTGTATATATTTTATATCTATTTACATACATACATGGTATGTCCTTCACTCCCTACCCCCAATTAAAATTGTACATACTTTGAAAGCAAAGATTGAGAGACTGTTTTATCTTTTTCTCTTCAGTGCCTGCCACAGGGTCTGGTGTAGAGAAGGCTCTCACAGGAGGCTACCTTTTTATCAAAATATTCTTCTTTATTAAACTAATATGACTATAATATTTTTTAAAAACCTTAAATTTGATAGTCTTTTAAAGAAACAAAACTAAATATGATGCCTCAGATATATAGGCATTTTTTCTTGATAGCTTGTTCCTTATCTTATCCTATTCATTCAAAAATCTGTTCTGTGTTTTCAAGAGAAAGGCTCCCTTCTGTCTGAATTCTCCTGTACTTCACTTTTTCTCAAACCATGTCTCTCTATCTGGGAGCGATGATTCTCTTTTAGGGAGAGAAAACCTGGCTTCTTTGCCTCTTTACCACTTCTCTGTCTTTAGGTGGCCTATGAAATATGGTAAACTAAAATATCACCTGTTTAAAATGTCCAAACATAGCTGGGATTTCCTTGAATTTTAAAAATCTGCCCCCCCCCAAAAAAAGCCTTCTTTCTGTTTCATTGACAATTTAAAGTCTTTAGCTCCTCTTTCAATCTGGGCAGGATTTCAAAAGTGGAGAAATAAAAGAAATTTGTTCTAGAAAGAGGGTGAGGATGAAATGGGTAAACAAAGAGGCAATGGCAGGATGATAATGGGTAATGAAAGCTTAATAGGTAGAGGCTAGACTGAAGATTATATGAAGGAGAATCATGTGAAGCGACTCAAGATCCTGCCATGTGAGATTCAATGGAAAGAGCTAGGTATATGTTAACCTGGAGAAGATAAGACTTAGGTGGGACACTGTAAGCACTTAAAGTATTTTTGGGATTCTCACATAACCGAGAGACTGGGATTGTTTGGTTTGATCACAGGGAACCAAATGGGTAGAAGTTTCAGAGAAACAGATTTAAGTGGTATTGCAGGGAAATTTTCCTCTTAATTAGAACTATACCAAAGTGGAATAGACTGCCTTGGAAAGGAACTTTATCAGTTAAATGGAGATGATAATAATAAAAATAGCTAACGTTTATACAGTGCTTTAAGGTATGTAAAATGCCTTACATATATATTATCTCATTAAATTGTCAATGAAACAGAAGGCTTTTTGGGGGGGGAATTTTTAAAATTCAATGAAATCCCAGCTATGTTTGGAAATTTTAAACAGGTGATGTTTTAGTTTACTAAATCTCATAACAATCCTGTGTGATAAAATGCTATTATTAGCCCATTTTACAGATGAGAAAACTGAGGCTGAGAGAGGTTAAGTAACTTGACCAGGGTTACACAGCTAAATAAATGTCTAAGGCAGGATTCAAATTCATTGAATTTGTGCTCTTGCCTCAAGAGCCATCTCCTTGATGTTGGGGACTATGTTTTATCATTTTTTAAATCTCCATATAATCAGTACCTATCTCAGAATATGTGTTTAATAATGTTTGTTGAAGCTGTGCTTAAATCAGGGGTGGGGAACCTAGGGACTGGAAGCCACATGTGGCCTTCTAGGGCTTTGGGTGTGTCCTTTTGACTGAGTTTTACAGAACAAATCCTTTTATTAAGATTTCTTCTGTGAAGTTTGGAGACAATGAAACAGCCACACTTGAGAACCTAGAGGGCTACATGGGGCCTCAAGGCTGCAGGTTCTCCACCCCTGGTTTAAATTTATATTTCTTCTCCATCCCTCTTAGCCCCCAACATAGTAGACGACTCATGTAGTAGACATTCAATATATCTTTCTTAATGTATGTTTGCCACCCACCTATGGAAACCTCTAGAAGAATGCTTCACACCCATCATCTCCTTGCCTTCATTTTCACTCCAGGAAATATTTATCTTTTGTGGTTTTAGAATGCAGAGACTTTGGCTGAGGGGACTTTTTTTCCAAATGTACCACCATTGTTCAACTATGTGTGTGTGTGTGTGTGTGTGTGTGTGTGTGTGTGTGTGTGTGTTTCAAATGACCAAACCTTTTTGTTGTCATTTCAGGATCACAATATCCCATCTTTCACTGTGTGAGCAGAAGTTCTCACGAAGAGGTTCCCGACAGCTATTGTGACCCTACCACCAAACCTACTCCTGAAGAAGAACCCTGCAATATTTTTCCTTGCCCAGCCTTGTAAGCAATCCAAATTCTTCTCTTTAGCTTACCTTTTATATCAACTTTGCTTTATAAACATTTGTTCATTCCTAATCTGGGAGTTTGGATTGCTAATCCTGTATATTGATTTGTCAAGGACCTACGATTTCATCAGTGTCAGAACTCCCAACGTGGTAACTCCCTCCTGATATGCACTACGGCAGGTATATGACTCAGAGTCTCAGAAAATTGCCTGAGGCTCAAAATGGTTATATGATTTGCCTATGAACACACAGCTACTAAGTGCCAAAATCAGTATCTGAACCCAGATATTCCTGATGCTAAATTCACCACTACATCTACTATGTAATGTGATTTCTCCAGGATATTTAACACCTTTAAAAAAACACACTGTAGAGTAATGGATAAAGAACCGGCCTCAAAGCCAGGAAGACCTAGTCTCAAGTCCTTCTGACAGTGACCCTGAGCAAATCACTTAACTAATTCCTTTGTCCAAGGGACAACTCCCTGAGACCAAAAGGTACAGAGAAGGTGCTGACCTGTACTGGAAGAGGGAGGTTCCTCACCTGAGAGAGTCTGATGCCAACAAAATCACAGATCCTGTTCTTATGGAAGGAAGGAAGGAAGGGGAGAGAGGGAAGGAGGAACTAGAGAGAGGGAAAGGAATGGAGGAAGGAAGGAAGAGAGAGAGGGAAGAAGGAGGGAGGGAAAACAAGAAAGGAAAGAAGGAAGAAAGGAAGACTACCTGGGTACATCATTAATGTTGTAATTATCAATTATAAATTCAGGATGTAGGCTATGCATTAAACTCTGTCTATGGAGCAAGCATGCCTGTCATCCAGGATTAAGAAGAGAGTTCTATTAGCTAGAAAGCAGTTTAGTGTGCTCCCATGACCTCTTTCCCTTGCCTCTTCTTGGTAAGGGATGACTATTTCATATGTGTTTGCTGATGAAACATGTGGGCCACTGAAATCACAATAGAACTATAAGCCCTGGCTACCCATATTCCCAGAGTGGCATAGACAAACACAAGGTTTGACTTTCTACTTCAAGCACCAGGAGAGGTTTTTGTCTGTGTCATAGAAGGTTACAAGAGAACTTAGAGGTCAGCCACGACATCCCCTGCATTTTGCAGATGAAGAAACAGAAGTTTAGAAGAGAAATGACTTGCCCAAGGTCACACATATATTTAGTAGCAGAGCCAAGACTCAAATCCAGATCTTTTGGCTCAAAGTTTGAGGCTCTTTCCATTATACCAAGGTTAAGTGTAATTGTTGAGTTCATCACGACTTTCTCTGATGACACACATATCATTACTTTAGTAATATATAGTAATACCATATACTATCAATAATAAAGATATTGTTGTTAAACCAGTTGTTACTGGTTATTCATTCCTTTGTATGAATTAGAGCTACATCTGGTATATTGGAAAGAGTACTGGACTTGAGTCAGGAAGACCAACATTCTAATCCCGCCTCTAATACAATACAATAATAGCTAGGATTTATGTGATGCTTTGAGTTTTGCAAAGTGCTTTGCAGATATTCTCATTTGATCTCCACAACAACCCTGGAGGTTGGTGCTGTTACTATCAGCATTACAGATAAGGAAACTAAGGTAGACAGGGGTTAAATGACCTGCTCAGGGCCACCCAGCCAATAAGAATCTCAGGCAGGATGTAAACTCATCCTCTAGACTCCAGGTCCAGAACTCTATCTACTGTACCCTCTAGTTCCTCCAATTTAACAGCTGAGTGACTCAGGGCACATGATTTATCCTCTGTATCACAGTCAATGCCCTATAACTTACCTACTAAGTGGAGAGGAGCATGATGCAGCAGAGTCCTGGATTTGGAGTCGGAAATCTTGCGTTATTCCAGTTCTATCACTTAATACCTCTATGAATTTCAACAAGTAGTTTCACCCCTCTAAGCCTCAGTTTCTTTAGCTGTAAAATTTTCTCCAGCTCAAAAATCTATTATCTTTTTATCCTAAGTCATAGAGGGATGGGGATTTTCCTTCCCCGGCTAACCACTGATCCTTCTTATATTTGCATTTACATGATGAATTAAGGCAAATCCCTTCCTCTGTGTGAGAGGTAGTTGAAAGCTGGTTTTGCAGGAAGGGAATATAGAGACAGATTTTAGACAATGGACGAGTCCTACCTGAACGTAGCATGAAGGGGATAAGTACCAGAATAACGGAGAAGGTACAAAGAGGGTGAAGTAGGGCCATGCAAAGGAAAATTATGCTTCTGAAGAAGGTTAGGGACAACTCTGCATACAAGAACAGAGACCTGCTCAAAGAGTCATAGGCTCTGACACATTATAGAAAGCAAGGGTTTTTAACCTTCTTTGGTATTGTTTCTTTACCAACAGGTGAAGCCCACACACCTCCTCTCACAATGTTTTTAAATATACAAAATAAAATAGGATTACATAAGAAACCAATTATTTTGAAATAAAGGTGTTATTTTTTCCATTCCAAATTCACCACCTGCTACAGTCTATTGACAGAGACTCCTTGTGGTTCCATGAACCCCTGGTTAAAAACCCCTGCAGCAGGGCAAAGCACTGTTCATGTTGGTGAAGTCAGCTTCCAGTAGTCTTTTATAGCTACACTCCCCTAAGAACAATTTTTTCAGCTGAACAAAAAAAGTTCCAAAAGCCAACAAAACCATTCTGCAAAAATGTTCCCTCTCACCCACTGCCCTACTCACACCTAGGCATGTCATAGGGAGGCATATAGAAAATGACTTCTCTTCCTTTTGTTTGTTTGGCTTTTTTTTTTCCCCAAGCCCTTGTTTGGTGGGTTCCTAATCCTCTGGCCAAACTCTGTATGATAATTGTGCTCCTGTGAACATTCCCCACAGAGATCCAGGTTTATATCATTAGTCATTTGTAAGAAGTTGCTCCCCTTCCAAAGGTCTGTAAACATGAAAGTTAGCTTCTCCAACATTATAAATCCAATGATTTTTCTTTGAAGCAACGGCCTGCTATCATTATTCATTGATTCTCCTAATGTTTAATGGTAGGTAACCATTTGTCTCTCTCTGTCTTTTGTCTGTTTCGTTGTTTAGCTGGGACATAGGGGAATGGTCTGAATGCAGCAAGACATGTGGCCTTGGAATGCAACACCGCCAAGTTCTCTGTCGCCAGATGTATGCCAACAGGACCCTAACTGTGCAGCCATACCGCTGCCAGCACCTGGAGAAACCAGAGACCACCAGTACTTGCCAGCTGAAGATCTGTAGTGAGTGGCAAATCCGGACAGAATGGACCTCGGTAAATCAGAGTAGTTTGGAGTTTGCTTTATTAACTGGAATTGCAGGAGGATCCCCTAACTTACCTCTCCTGCTTTTAAGGGGGAAATAGCCTGAGTCACCTTGTTCTTTAATTATATGTGAATGGGATAGGTACGATAGAATAGAACACTAGGCCTGGAGTCAGGAAGACTCATCTTCCTGAGTTCAAATCTGGCCTCAGACACTTACTAGCTGTGTGACCCTGGAAAAGTCACTTAACTTCTTTTGCCTCAGCTTCCTCATCTATAAAATGATCTGGAGAAGGAAATGACAAATCACTCCAAGAAAACCCTAAATGGAATCAGGAAGAGTCAGATACCACTGAAAAGTTTAAACAACAGTAATTCTAGAAGCTGCCTTTATTTAGAGTCCAGGATGTGCTGAGCCTTTGGGCAGAAAGCAACCTCTTACATTTTAATTCAATTCATTCATTCTCAGATCAATCATTCAGGAAGACATCGCCTATATGAGTCAAAATTGAATCTTGGCCAGGAGCAGGAATAAACTAGATGAGGGATGCCTTTAACCTAGGGACCAGGGAGACTGATAGGGGCCAGGCTAGGGAACCAGAAAGTATAGGCAATTTGAAAAGAAGGTGCAGGATGAAGCAATAAGTAGATATCTTAGCAGGTAGGTGGAACATGAAAGCAAGGGCTGGGGGAGGAGGGGAAAGATATTCTACCAACAGACAGCTGACAGAAATCAGGATCTGAAAGGTGTGGAAACAGCTATCAGGTACTCTGCCACAATTAGTGAAGAGTCCCATCTTTAGAAAGACTAAGGGTTGGGATATAAGACAGCACCTTAATTCTCTAAGTACTTGGATACCAGGCAGGGAATCAAAACAGGGCCCAGTTACTGGTAGTAGGCTACAAGGCAGAAGCTTTGAGTAAATCACTGAAATAGCAGTGGATTTTGATTGGCTGCCTCAAGTCTAACAAAAGGCTTGAAGTCCAAACTGATTTTGTATTCATTTCAGTCAAAAGGAATAGTCAAAACTCAATTTCAATTTCTGGAACAGAGGTATGATGTCAGATTAGCTGGTAATAAGATGAATTTCATGCCATCCTCCTGGTCTAGCATTCCTAAAATTTTCCCTTCCTTAGGACAGAATTTGCCCCAGAGTTTAGAGAATGGGAGCATATCTGTGGAAATTGCATAGCCCTATCTGCAAAGGTTAGTGGACTCTAGGAGCAAGGGGTCCGGCTAATCAGTACAGTGCTTTCAACAAGCCCCACAGTCTTTTGGGGCCTTTAACTTTCTAACACTGCAATCCATTAATTGTAGTGAAGACGCCTCTGCCCCAACAGGCAACATAAGGCAGCTTTAATGGCACCCAATCAACAAGCATTTATTAAGTGCTAATTATTCTCAGGTGCTATGCAAAGTACTAGGTTCCAAAGAAAGACAAAACCAGTCACCTCACCCTGTCTTGCAGGGTCATTTGAGTCCAGTGGCATCTACGAGGAACTTACATTCTAAAGAGGGAGACAACATAAAAATAGATATAGACAAGATACACACAGAGTAAATGGATAGTAACCTTAGTGGGGAAGGCACAGCTTTCCTTTCCTCTTCTCATACTCATTCTTTTTGAGGTTTCTCTTTCCCTCTGCTTTTTTATTTTTTATCCTCTCTGCCTAAAAATTACCGGAATTATAAATTATAATTATAAAACCTGAGTGGTCCATCATGACCTAGTTCTACAGTGCTGCCTCATTCTGTCCCTTCCTTGCTTCCTTTTTCTCCCTTCCTCCTCTCCCTCTGTCCACATGGGAAATCATTCCCTCACATATGGGTGCTCTACCCAAAGGAATATAAATTCTGATTGCTTAAACCTCTCAAGATATCTTGGGGCTTTGGGAACTCAGTTGTTTTTTCTCTTTCCTAATTATTTATTCTATCATTTTTCCCTTAACAACTAGGATAATTAACTCTTTGTCCTGTAGTTTCATTCATGATTCCTTAAAATAGAGCTCTAGAAAACACTGGGATTCAAATGGAGCTACCTGACTGTGCCTTAAACCCAAATCACTGTGGCTCTCACTGGCCAAGAATAGGGCCCAGCTCAAGCCTTATTTGGTCACTGTTTGGGTTTTGATGGCTGAGTGTAAATAAGAATTGTTCTGCTGTGGCCAGAGACCCTGAGGGTCTTCCCCTCCTAGATTGATTTCTTTTTTTCAAGTAAGCAAACTAGGCCATTTTCTACCTCATTTCTTACCTAGCCTTAAGTCACTGAATGGGTGTTACATCAGGCAAACTGAGACCTGGGAAAGACCTTAGCTTAAAAAGACCAAAGTCTCCCACTGCATCCAGGATCATCTCCAGTCATTCTGACCTATGTCTTGCCACTGGACTCAGATGACCCTGGAAGAGAGGGTGAGGCTGGTGACTTTGAGCAGCTCTGCCTCACTTAAATCCAATTCACTTGCAAGTCAAGACATCACCCTCCTGATGTCATTGGTCCTCTTCAAGAAAGGAAGATGAACAGCAAAAGCAGTTCTTCAGCCTTGTACAATTAGCATTTCCTTTCTTGACCTCAGTTTCCTTATCTGCACAATGTGAGTGTAGGATGACATTCAACTCAGTTCAATTTCTCACAAAGCTTTAAAATCCTTTACAATTCAAATATTCAATCAATTAAGAACTTATTAATTAAGCCCTTACTATGTGCCAAGAACTGATTGTGCTAAGCACTAAAGGTATGAACAGTAATAAACAGTCTCTGACCTCAAAGAACTCATTTTCTATTGGGAAAGCCAACATGTAAATAAGAAGATATATGCTAAGTATAAACAAATTAGGTTACTAAGGCAACCTTGGAGAGGAATGCCTGAGAAGCTGTGCTCTAGAGCAAAGGGGTCAATCACATGGCCCTCTGGCCCCACGTGACACAAAACACTCCCAAGTGTAGCCCAAACCAAATTAAAATGTAATTGGGAAATATTTAACAAATTAAACAAAAACACAATACAATCTAGACAATGTTTATATGTGGTTTTCTAAGTCAATATGCAGCTTACATGCATCCTTATGTATGGCGTGTTGTTCTGCCATTTTCAATGTCTGACTTTTCATGATCCTTTTTGGGGGTTTTCTTGGCAGAGGTACTAAAGTGGTTTGCCATTTCCTTCTCCAGTTCATTTTACAGATGAGGAAACTGAGGCAAACAGGGTAAGTGACTTGCCCAGAATTACACAATTAGTGTCTGAGGCTGCATTTGAACTCAGGAAGATGAGGTACTGTTCCATACAGGCCTGGTACTCCATCCATTGAGCCACCTAGCTGGCCACATATAGTTTAATGGCCCACCATTTCTTTTTGAGTTTGACACCACTTACCCAGAGCTTCCAATCCACATTGTCTCCACCCCTATCCCCTACATCGTGGCTACTGCTTAATCTTCTTGGTTTTGCTCTTCATTTATAGAGACCACTGATCACTCTTGACCAAAAGACTGTCATGAATACCCTGAGGTTTTGAGTGACTCTTAAAGAAAGACTTTCCTTATCTTTCCTTGGGAGCAGCCTTAAAGAATATTTTCCTGGAGGCATCATGGGGTAATGGATAGAGCACTGAACTTGGAGACAAGCAGACAAGTGGTATCAGATACTTACTGGCTGTAACTGACCCTAGGAAATTCATTTAACCTCTCTCTCTGGGTCTCATTTTCCTCATCTGTAAAATGAAGTGAGTTAGGACTTGATCACCTCTAAGCTCTGAAAAATCCATGACACGGTGGTCCATCCTTTTTCATTCAAAGACATAAACGTGTCTATATTTTCCATGGCAAACCATGGGCAAGGGATTTAGAGGAACGTCCCTGAAATGAACTTTGGTAGTGGGATGTGCTCTATACATGCTGATGGGGAAAGGACAGACAGAATAAGCCTTTAAAGGACATCTGCTTGACTAAAACAATGAAGAGAGAACAATATGAGGGGAGGGGAATGAAAAAGTCTATGAGTCAAAGAGAAGAGTAAGGTAAAAAAGGAAAAATGGAAGCAGAAATAAAATGTAGGAAGAGATAGGCAGGCTTCCATACTCTGTAAATCTTTTTCATCTGTGGTGTTCACACCTAGTCTTGCACCAGAGATCACAATAGTGCTTTGAAATCTCCGTGCTTGCCTCCACTGCCCTTGTACCCAGGAGCTTTTCAAATAGTCACTTGATCTTTCCCACTCGAGTACTAATTTATGCCAAGCTAAATAGAAAATAATGCAAATCTTATTTATTTTCACTACTGTCTGGTAGGAAGTATAGTTAAAATGTTTGCAAGCTAGTATCTATTTTGCATTTATTTGCAAGTCTGCTTTAAAGTCTTCGAAGGATTCAAAAATTTCAAAGTAGATGGGAAAATGGCCAAGATGTTATCCTGCTGCTGTGTGAACTTTCAAAGACCAGCACAAACCTTAGCCCTTATGAAATCCAAAGAGTAGGAAAATATTCCTATCGGATGAAAGAACTCTTCCTGCCCCCGCCGCCCAATTGATTATGGGATAAGGGAGCACACTTAGGTCAAATAGCAGATTTAGGGAAATTGGGAAGACGCGAGCTGTGCCTGGGATCTAAGAATTCTGCAGACAAATCACCTTCTAATGCACTCTGTCATGTCTAAGACCAACCTGGAAGTTTAGGTTGAGTTTGCGTGCTGCTGAAGGAGTATGTTGCCTCTTGAGGCCTCTATTTCTTCATGTAAAGTGAGAGGATTGAACTAAGTGATCTTTGAGGTCTCGGCTAACATTCTGTTGACTTTTTCTCCCTGGGAAGTCCCAAGTCATATAATATTTAAAACATGGGACTAACAACATTTTCACCTCCAAATGGCAAAGCTCAAAAATAATTGAAATACCTTCCCCACCCCTGATCCTCCCAATCTTTATACAAATGGCATCTTCCCAGCTGTTAAGTATTTGGTCTGTAATAATAGAAAAGAATATGGCTAATGGACATAGAGACAGTGGGTTGGTAAGAAGGGCATTGAAAAGAGGGCACTGGATGGAGTTTTTCATGGGCAAAACTACCAGGGGCATGGGGATCATTGATTTAGAGCTGGAAGAGACTGTTGTTGTTGTTCAGTCATCTTTCAGTTGCATCTGCCTCCGTGACCCCATTTGGGTTTTCTTGGCAGAGGCAAACAGGGTTAAATAACTTACCCAGGGTCACACAGCTAGTTAGTGTCTGAGGCCAGATTTGAACTCAGAAAGATGAGGTCTTCCTGACTCCAGGCCTGGCTGTTCTATCTATTGTGCCACCAAACTGCCCAGAAGAAACTTTAGAAGTCATCTACACCAACCCCTTCATTTTAAAAATGAGGACCTGGGGTCATAGAGGATAAATGACTTGAACCCAGAACCTCTGACTCCAAATCCGGCATTCTTTCTGCTAAGCTCCACTACCTCTCTACCTCACCAGACTCTCCAAGGGCAGTCTACCATGAATAGGGGAGTTGTCTCTCCTGAGCATATTCTTATACAGCAGTTAACGAAGGACAAAGTAGCCCTTTTTTTGAAATTCTGTCTGGAAATGATGCCTTGGAACTGATACCACAATTCATGTGTCTCTCAAAGTCAGCATGGAGGGCAGAGTGAATAGAGTGATAGAGTGCCCATCAGCAAGACGAGAGTTCACATCCCACTTCTAACACTTAGAAGCTGTGTGACTGTGGACAAATCACTTCATCTTTCAGTTTCATGTTTCTCAACCACAAAAATAAAAGAGATTAATAACACCTGCAGTACCCACTTCTCAGGGCCACAAGGCTCAAATGAAATAATGTATATAAAGTGCTTTAAAAACTTTAGGTATTGTGTGTCAGTTATCATTAACATTTTTCTCTGTGTAATAAATAAAGCCTAATATTCCACTGACCTCAAGGATATTTCCTTTTAGTGTTCAGTACCTTGTGGTGTGGGGCAAAGGACTCGAGATGTGAAGTGTGTCAGCAACATCGGGGATGTTGTCGATGATGAAGAATGTAACATGAAGCTCCGGCCAAATGACATTGAAAACTGTGATATGGGGCCCTGTGCAAAGAGCTGGTTCCTGACAGAGTGGAGTGAAAGGGTAAGAAAGACTCAGTAGAATAGCACTTGTTTTGTGAGTATAAGTCACGTTGCTTTTAGGTTCCACCATCATCACCACCCCCAATCCCTGTACAAATATATACAAACATATAGCACTGAAGGGAACGATGATAAAGCTGTAATGTCAGACCCAGCCTTTAGCTACCTATATGAATTGTGTAAGCTGAGATTGCTACCATCTCTTATCCCTAAAGAGAAGGAGGCTTTTTAAGGCAATGGGCATCCTAATGGGAGAATGGGCAGGATTCCAATGAACAAGAGAGTAATCCACATGAAAGAAATTACATGAGTAAAGACACAGAGATAGAAAAGTACATGGCATGTTTAGGGAATGATTTGGTTACAGCATGAAGTATAGGGAAGTAGTGGGAGATAATTCTATTAGTTTTCATTTTCTGAATGTAACTCATTTTATTCTTTATAAAACAATCTCATTGGGACCATTTGTCTCTGAACTTATTGGTTTTGGCCTCCTTCTTCATTATCTGCAGATGTCCAGCTCATGTGGTTTGCTCCTAGCTTCCAAATCATTAGTCATGTAAATGTGGATCCATGAGATGGCCCCTGGGGCGTCAGTGTGACTTATAAGGAGCCAAGTCTCAAGCTAGAGAGAGCAAATGGAATATACCCAGGCCATGGGGATAACTGGCCTCCTGAAAACCTAGGAATAGGTCTTGATTCTAACCTAAGCACTATTGGTCCATACCCCTAATTCTAACTACATGTTAAAAATTCAGGAAGTCATGAAGTTGTCTTTGCTTTTCTAAGAGGCAGAATATCCAAGAGACATCGTTCATATGCCAGAATCTGAAAACAAAATCATTGACTAGCCACAATGGGCAATATGGACAAATTTGGGGCCACCTGTAATTGAAGAAGGTTATATTCACTGGCTCACAGACTTGGAGCTAGAGGACACTTTAGAGGTCATGTAGTCCATTCCCTTCATTTACACGTAGAGAACCAAGGCCCAGCAAGGTTCAGAGCTTTCCCTGAGTCACACAGACTGTAAGTGATGGAACCAGGATTCAAACTAACTCTCTGACTCCAAGTCTGGTAGTTTGTCATGTCCTTTATGTGAGGCACAAGTCAGTCACTCAGTGATTGAGGGGTTACATTAGCCTCAGAATGCCTTTGGGACTCAGAAGGTCCACTATGTAAATAACTTAGTGTACCGTGGCCCAAGCCATTTCATACTCTTATTTACAATGGTGTAATTTTACCTGAAAAGTTATTCAAGGTTCATTTTATGTGTGCTGAAGCTATTTTTCCTTTAATGATAATATATAAATCCCCCCCAACCACTTTGAAGTAAATTTGCTTTCATTTTGATATGTTCCCTTGCTAGATCAAACACAATTTGAAATCCTTATTTAGAGCCAGGCATGGCTGCATTTATATCCTCCTTCATTGAAGGAGATGTTTTTGTAATTAGTAATTTTTTTTTCTTCCTCAAAAAGGTTTTTCAGCCATGAATGTTGAAAACTGAAAAAACAAATTGAAGTTATGTTTCTTTTTTTCTCTGAATCATAAATGAATTCGTTATTTGCAAACATTCACTCTTACTTCTGTCAGACTTATTTTTTTCTTTTGCTCTGAAAAGTTTATTGTTTTCTTCTTAAAATATTAAGGATTAGAAACTTGAGTCACCACAATATAATATATGCTCTAAATATTTCCCTCACTTGATAGTGACTAGCAAAATAATAACTTACTTAGCCAAAGTGGTCAGGGACTTTGATATTTTGTAGTTGAATCAGTTTTGCAATTAACCAAAGGCTGACTTATTTGTACAGTGAAATTTCTGTTAATAAAGGAAACCCTTCTGTAGGATCTAAGGACTTTAATCAGGACCTCTCCTTTATGGGGATGCATTTAAAGTATTTGATACTGTTTATCCCTGTTTCAGAGACCCACATGACATGAAGGACCAAGTACTGTATAAAAGAATTTTGTCATCATCTTGGCGCATAACCCCTAACTAGGAAACACATATATGGTAACCCCTCAGTATACGAAGACCAGCTTCCCACTAGTAAGCACTGGCAAGCAGGTAGTTGACATTTGCAGAAGAAAGTTGTATTAAAAGAAGGAGAAAAATAAAACAGAGCTACTTAACTGGACAGCTATAAGCCCCAAAGATGTATTAACAAAGTCAATCAAGCAATAAACATCTACTATGTTCCAGACACTGAGCTAATTGCTAATGATACAAAGAAAGGCAAAAGACATTGCCTGCTTTTGAGGAGCTCAAAATCTAATGGGAGAGACAATGTGTAAACAGCTATGCTCAAACAATATACCTCCAAGACAAATGAGAGCTCATCTAGTATACATGGTTTTTGTTTCTTTTGTTTTGTTCAGTCTCAACCAATTACCAGCCCCACTCATCACCATGCCTGCTTTCAGAGGAAAACATTTATTTTTCCCAGGCCCACAAAGGAGAGAGTGAGCAAAAGATGTCAACATACCTCATATATCTCAGAAGAAACTTTTAAAAATTAAAAAAAAATTTTATTTACCACAACTCTTCAGTCTGGTTTCAAAGCTATCAACCACAGAGCCAAACTATATCCGATGACTGCGTGGAGTAAACCTAAAGAGGGAAATACAATTTACCCCTAAATGACAGGTAGAAACAAAACATCAGAAATCCAAGAGAAATAATGATTATTTCAAAAAAAGTGAGGTTTTATTAGAGGTGTAGGTAAGAAACTTAGATGTATTCCTAAAAAATATCAATGGGGCAATTGGAAGGAACTGAAGTTTAGAGAGGAAGTAATCAATCTATCAACCTGAAATTGCAGAATAAACTTAGATTACAATGATGTGATATTAGATTAATTAGATGTGATATTTGTTGTCACTGAAAATACAGTTAGAATTAAGGAACCCTCATAGAACCCTATTCATCCCTCTCACATGTACTTACTACGGTATTTTGTATTGTATTTATATTTGAACATTTTTTACCTTTTCCTACTGATGCTTCCAAGGACCAAGCCTTATTTATCCTAGTATTCCCCTAGAACCTAAGATAGTAATAAAAGTGTTTGAATGAATGAATATTCCCTAGAGGCTAGTTAGGGCCTTTGAGTACTGTGTAGATCCTCTTGAGGTCAGCGTTTTAGCTAGCTTCCATCAAATAACTGTGGTGCCTTGGACCGGCATAAGCTTTACAAATTACTTTTCCCCAGTTGTATCTCAAAGCATACACCTCTATGCTTAGGTATGCACTTTTTTCTCTCTGTTAGAATATCCGCAAAATGATGCAAGGTTGAAAGAGTACAAACAAAGAGAGATAGCATGAAAAAACAAGATGTAAAGAAATTTCAAACAGGTCAACCCCACATGGTATTCTCCTGACGTGTTTAGAATTACAAACTCACTCCAAACTTTGCTCACCCAAGAGTTCTCCTATATAATTGATTGAATCTCTATCCCTATCTCTATAAATACATGGGTGCTCTGCTTAATTGCATTAATCAGTTATCTGAAAATGCAATATTAAAGGGAACAACTTTAAAGACATGAGCTAGTGACATAGGAGCAAAATTATAAATGGACAATGTGCCAAATGACATTAGAGCAAGATTTAGAGCACAATTTTGCAATTTTATGATGGTAGTTCATTACAATTTATAAACATAATTTAAAATGATGACTGAGGCAACCTTATAGGAGGCATGCCTGTTTTTCACCATAAAAAATGTATTCTGTTGTATCAAGAGAAGAAAGAGGTGATAAAAAACTTATTTAAATTTCAAAAGATGGGATACAAAATTAAATTTAAAGGAGAGCTATTGTATGTTTACAGTCCTCCTGGGATCAATTCAACCATGTTAGCATGTAAATAAAGCTGGAATAAAAAAGACAAGCCATTTCCAGAGGGTTATTTGTGAATTAACTATTATTCCCCCAAAGACTCCTATGTCTGTGCTGCTTAATCCCAGAGATTTAACTCATAATCAAATCACATCTCTGCAGCTGATATGGCTTAAATATGTTTGGTCGCTACTTCCAGATATTTGTCAAGGGTATTCACCAGAATGAGCACTCCCATCAGTGAGCTGGGGTTGCTTTCTGTGTCCTTCTAATATAGATCTCATGTGTACTATTGAATTATATTTTGTATGTGGAAAGATATTACTATCATCATGTCATGGACTCTGTAATTTCATCAGTATGTGGGTACTCCCTTCTCTCCACTGGCAAATTGCTAAACTCCTTTGGTTCTTAGCTAATTGAGAAAAAATTAACTGATTCTACTTGTTCGATTTGTAATGGAATTGTGGCTCCCTATCGATTGGTAGGATCTTCCCTCTCTGCAAACAAAACAAAACAAAACAAAAACAATATGCTAAACATTCTGTTTCCTTGTTCCATTTCACCCTCAATCTTTTGGTCATTACTGCTTGTCTTCCACATGGTGCCTGTGTATCCTGAGTAAAAATACCCTCCTTTCTTTAACCTTAAAACAACCGACTCATCATAATCATTCTACATCTTCTGATTCAATATGGACGTATGGGTAGCAACCATGCTTCATTTTCCACTTCAGATACAACCATTAGGATCCCACATCCTTTTCAAAAAATCATTTCCATTAAACTAATTTTTAACCTCTAGTCAAGTTCTCCCTTATTATGGCATGGAGGTATATCTGGCTTCTGAAAGGCAACCAATCCAGAAAATCTTGGAACATAGGACCAGGGACTAGGTGTCAGTTATGAAGGGAAGAAAGACAGCGTAGCTAACTACAACCAGAATCCATTGCCAAATTTTTCTTAATTAGCCCAAGAATGTAGGAGTTCAGCAGTATGCCAATGGAGATAAAGGAATACCCACACACTGATGAAATCACAGAGTCTATGGTGTGTTGATTGTAATATCATACATACAAAATATCATTCAATCTTTTTTTAAAATGTGACCTGTGATTTATATGCCTTAACTGTATAACTCATGCCCTAGCTGATC